AATAGAGACAAGAAACTAAATTGTTTTAGAATTTCTCAACATTAATATTGCGTACAACAATCTCAAAATCAAAGTTTATCTCCAAATCTAGCAAGCTCTCTTTGTATGGCCCAATTTGTGAAAACAAAGATAGCCCTTGTTGAATATCTTGAGAGACACACAAAATTATTCCCCACGAGATTTTCTGCAACTTCCCAAGAAGCAAGAACAGGACGATCTAAATAGAATCTGGTGTTAAAATTTTTGATTATCTTTCTTAAAAGTTCAAACCAAGTAGTCTTTGTTTGCTATTAAAAAAAAAAAAAACCACTGAGGAAAATCTGGGTATAATTCTGCACAGTATGGTTTCACCCCAGACTTTTAGATGTTAACACTACATAACAAAAATAAAGTAAAACAGCATGAGGAAAGGTATATCAAATGATATGCCTAGCTGCTTCTAAAACATATCAATACCTATAATTGCAAGAAGGCATGAGGTTATTTCTACAAATCTAATGCTGCTCCTGATAGTAGATAATTCTGAACTACTATGAGGCCTTCTATAGGAGTGCTATGGAGCAGAATTAGATACAAAACAATAGACCTTAAACAAAGAACTGTTTTGGAGACTGGAGAAGACCAATGCAGCTGTATTGGAAACAAACAATAGGGAACAATGTTGAGGAACAAGCACAGAGTGTTATTTGTGATGGCCAATGAGACTGTTTAAGGATTCTTTGGTAACAAGCATACAGAAATTTCTACTTTGGAAACATTCGTGCAAAGCAGAGGGACCTAATGGAAGTGAAAGCAGAGAAGCTTTAGTTTTAGCTAGAGAGCAATAAAACAATAGAGTTTTAGAGATCAGCATGCTTTCTCTTCTATTTCTGTAAAGTACTCATATAATCCAAACTACAGGTAGGTCCAGTGCTATCACTAGACTGCACTGTTAAACATCCTTATCCTTTAGTTTCACCATCAAGAAAGCTTAATAAGGACCCACACTGCTTCCGTTTGGTATACCCAAGACTTCCAACACAGCCCCCAATTTAAAAAATGGACTGAATTCTAAAGAACCTCTGGATACTCATACTTTCAGAAAGGGGGTGGAACTTGATTTATGGATTTTATTGACATATGATTTGGGAGGTGATAAGAATAAAATTAGATTAAGGTTTCTTTAAAGACTGGGAAAAGAAAAGAGGAAAGGGAAAGTAATACCCACAGACAAGAATTTATTTCAAAGGAAATCCATTCTAGGAGCAGGAAGGCAGCCTTTGAATTACACTTTTCAAAAGTAGAACAGGAATAATTTGCATTGTTAGAACCACAGCCTCTCTTTTGCTTCAATGCTAGCAACCAGGCAGTGGATGATAACAAATTCAACCTAAGAGCCTGTGAATTATTGCGATCCCCACGAAACAGGAATAGATATTATGTCAGTAGGGAGTAAAGGTAGACTTCCAGTCAGAAGCACAGTAACCTAACACAAATAACATCTTGATTGACGCAAGGAAAGGAAACCCATAGTGCTAAGTACTATACAGCGTTTTCAGGGAGAAATATATACACGTTGCATACGTTTCTCAAGTTTAACCTCTGGTACCGCCAACTCGGACAGGGAAAGGCCCCCATCTGAAGGCCCCCTGGAACAGCTGTCAGCCCAAATGCCCGCAGCAGCTCCTGTGTGCCTGGGAAGCAAGGCCGCCTTCTTTCGATCACCACCCGCTTCCCTTCCACCATGGCGCCCGAGGAAAGCGGCTGAGCAGATTTCGCTAACTTGCAGCTTTCTCGCACGCTCTGCGGCTCGCCTTTCTTCCGCCCTGGAAGGACCGCTCGTAACGCGGGCGAACCTCCTTTCCAAGTCCGGCCTCGCCCCCCCGCTCGGCTGCGGGAAGGGGAGGGGGGGCACCACGTGCGTTCTCCAACTCGGGACCCCCAATACGGAAATTCTGAAGGCGGAG